TTCCATTTAGTCTTCTCTCCAGGACAGCGCGAGTGCCTTTGTTGAAGATCTGACGGTGGGCCTGCCTGCTGATTATTCACTCAAGAGTAACACTGATAGGGGCAGTCCCGCTTAAAGAGAAAAAAGGACACCACTTTTGCTCAGAAAGACATAATAATCTTCAAAGTCTTTTCCTTTCTTCTGCTCGCTCTGATATGAGAGCAGAAAGGAGGGCAGTATCAGGAGGATGTAGGTACATGGTAATCTAGTTTATCTCTAATATTTTGCAGCTGTCTGGTCTGCTTATGTGAGGAACAAAGTCCAGCAAAACTGACATTGTTTTCATTGGCCCTTGAGACAGACACTGCCTTAACTAACACAGGGAGATAATGTTAAACATCTGATTGGATCAGGATAGGTGTTTCTGCAGCGAAGCTTCCAGCAATAGCTGAGGGTATCTTTTGCAAATTTTTGTACTTGGGGCAGGGATAAGAGAAGGAAAACACAGAGGGAGGAGGGGAGGAAGGGAGGAAGGGTTTGGTTCAGGTGCCGTCTCCAAATTGTCTCTTTCTGCTAACACTTACTTTTTCTTGCTCCTTATTATAAAAATGAAAAAAAGTCTTGCTTTCCCAGGTTTGTATGTTTTTAAGCTGTGTTTGCAATATTATAGTATCAATACTTTTGTCAATGGAGAAGGGAGTCTCTCTTTTTTCCCCATGTGTATTTTTAAAAAAGAATTAATTACGACTGTGGCCTGCAAAAGGATTTTCAAATGTGCAGTGCACTTTCTGTGCACAATTGCCAAAGGGCTTACCAACTTTTCTTGAGTAAAGCAAGACTTCAAACCACACAGATACAGAAGGTCAAAAATGTTTGTGTGTCTAGCATTACAGAAGATTTAACTGGGAAGTCATTTTCATTGCATGTTACAGTCGGGAGTGTGAGACAGTTGAGAACTGCATGTAACATTACAGGCAAAAATGTCAGGGTTGTTCTCTCTGATTCCTCAGCATTGACTTTCTGGGACCATATACTTTCTAGCTCTTCCCTAGAGATAATGAATCAGGCAACAAAGACAAACTGTGTCATGATTTTTCGTCTGTTTCCTCTCTAACCTGTGCAGCTGACCTGCTGATACACATGGAAATAAGAAGGTTCAAGATTGTCATATATCAAATGAGACAGACTTTTTTGCATGTTGCATTCATCTCGTACCTTTAGTTGCCCTCCTTTATCCCCACCTAATTAGTTTCTTTATCTTTCAGTGTTTCTGTCTTTTCCCACCACTTTTTTGCATCTCACAAAGAACAGGTTTTGTATCAGCAGGTTTTAAATTAGGACCTTCATCATGGCATTAAAACATCTGTGTTTTAAAGCAACAGACCATTAACTTACCAGCAATCACTGCACAAGATGGTCAGCATATTTTTCCATGTTATTGTGACAGACCTTTTCAGCAGATAGCAAGCATAATACTGCTTTTGGGGAGTGAGTGTCATGAGAGGAGGGCCATGACACTGTCTGCAGTTGTCATCTATGTGGAATACTCAAAGAAATAAGACAACAGATCAGTGGCGTGACTCACTTTGTTAGCACTGTGCTATATGTGCATTTGGTGGTGGATAGATTAGATCTGGATGCTCACTCCAGCACAGGAGCAAATCACCTGACAGCAAATTAAGACATAGAGATGTAGGTATAAGGCTGTTTTAAAAAAGAAGACAGGAAATCCCTCCATTTTCTGATGGAAAAGAACTTGATAAATGTATTGGGCAAGTTGAGTTTTGGAAGTTGCAGAGAGTCCTGCTCATGCTGGGAGTAGCCTTTTCTAGCAAGTCAACAGAAGCAAAAAGTTCAAGCGAACATGTGGAGGTTGAAGCGCAGGGGAAGCGACGTGATTGTTCCCCTCTGCGGCTGTGCTGCATCTGTCACCAGGGTATATGGGTGCAGCTTTTCTGAATTTTTAGTTACAAAGTTCCAGTAAAGGAATTATTAAACCAGGACTCCATGTTAAATGAGTTCCTTGGAGTAGCAAAGGCTACTGTGGCTGAGCTGAAGGACAGAGAACAGACTCCTTAACAAGCCAAGGATCTAAATCTAAGCTAGTCCATTCCTAAGAGCCGCTTGTAATGATTATGTTCTGTGGTTGATTTATTTATAATGATAGCAATTGCGGTGGGAACAAAACATTAGGCCAAATTCTGACCTTGGGGTATAAATCTATAATCATTTCACTCTGATTCTTTAAATTTTGATGGCATTACTTTGGAATCATTCTACTTGAGATCAGACTCTGTTCTGTTGTATTAGATTTTTTTTTTCCAAGACTCCATTTCTACCATCCTTTTGTCTAATTTTGAACACAAAGAGCAGCAGAGCGTATGTTTAAACTAGTGCTGCAGCCACCTCCATATGCTCATCCATACCTTGAGGCTGACCAGACCTCAAGCCTCCTCTATGCTCCAGGGACGGGCTGGCTGGCAGGCTCTCCAAGGCCGAGGAGTCTAGCTCACTGCACAGTTAGCTATTGCTTTCAGGGGTACAAGGAGGCACTTTTTAACTGTTTGGGACACCATGTCAGCTGATAAACCAGTTTTGCAGGAAGGGAAGAGGTCAGAGAGCCATTATGTATTCCGCCATACCCAGGTGATAAATCTGTGATAGCGGCAATGTTTCACTGTTTATTTAAGAGTAAATGAAACAGAGATAGCTTTGCAAAATTGGAGAACTTGCGCAACAGCAAGTGAAACTACACAGCCTGTCTGAAAACTTAAGGCATGTGAGGAGCAGTGGGAACACTGCAAGTTTATTACACACCCTAGGCTCTTCTCACCAGCTATTTTTTTTCTGTGTGTTATTTATGTGTCTTCAAATTGACTGCCTAACACATGTAGAAAGCTGTCAGATGAACATCCTTGCTCGCAGCAGAAACAGCACTCTATGGCCTTTGCACTGCCTGCCTGTAACTGTTAAGTTGGAACATGGGCTGAAGAGAAGGATTTGTCAGCTGGGTTTGTTCAGCTTGTTTTAGTCATTTAATACAGAAGCACGAATTTCTTCATTACAGTAACATTCTTCAGTAACAGTCATGTATCAGCCCGTGGAAAATTAAACTAATTATTCTCCATTTTGGGACATGCCTGTTCTGGATCAGAAAATATAGTGCCTTCAAGAATTTGTCTCTCAGTTCAATGAACCAGCTTGCAGTGACAAGTGCCAGCTATTCCCCTTCCCTCTTTTTTAAGACTTAACATTTTCTTGGGTATATTTTTAAAATTCTGGTTTGGGTAGCTTTTACGAAAATGTAAAGCAGGCTGCTGCTGTAATCATTCCTGAATTTAGCCATGCTCTGTTGACTGAAATGTGATCCCCCTAGTTAATAAGAAACTAACTGGGGTTTCTGTTATGTTTTTTGATATATTTATTTTGCCCTTGGAATTAGCAACAATCATTTATTATGATCCAGGTGTTTGGCTAATTCTGTGGAGTTTTGATTCAAATATTGCCAAGACATTTGTACGTATTATCATTTCCGTAGCTTAGCAATGTGTCAGTTCGTGGCTTGAGCATTTAGGCTTCCTCCTCCGTGACCTTCAATGTTAGCTTTAGCATTGAGATGAACAGATGTGACAACCAAAAGCAAACATTTCTTAAGGAGATAAAGTAGTTGTGCTTTGATGACACTGAGTGCTTCCCCACTCCTATGCTAACAGACACAGTGGTGTTCATATCCACAATGTATATACCCTGGTACCTCCTCAGCCAGGGAGTCCAAAATAAGATGCATGTTTCTGTTAATGGGACCCCTCAGACTAGCTACATTCACGGTTGATAATTTATGTAATCTGTAATCAAAAATCTGTTTTCACTATGGAAACTCTCACTGTACCTTCTCATGTCGCCCTCAGTGAAACTGGGTAATTTGTCCATTAATTGACCACTCTTATGACTGCTGAGCAGTATTTAACCGGAGACTAAAATTTGAAAACTTTGAAAGTTTGCAACAGTGTTAATTTAGTATCTCCATCTTCTTTCTGCAAATAATAAATATTTTTCTTGTTGAGAGCATGAGCTGTGCTTTTCGGGAATATGGGACTGGTTGGCTGTGAGGTTTTTTTTTTAAAGAAGCAATAACTACAGTTATGTAGTTCAAATCTGGCTAAAACATGAACTATAACTAAAAGATCACAAGGATGTTCAACAAAGCAAAGTAGCAGTAGAGTTTCGAGCATGGCACTAAAGTCATCATGTCTAAGGCACAATCATAGAAGGAGATGAACCCTTCAGCATTTTGGGGCAGCTGAGCCCCAATACCATGCAAGATCAGTCTTTAGTGAAGGGTGATGTTAAAGGAATTATTGATGCCATATTGTGAATGCCTGGCTGTTTACTTGCAAATGCTGATTTTCTTGCTGCTTTGGAGTGTCCAGGTGCAAAGGGGTGTAACTTCTAAGGTATTTTGGAAGAGCTGTTCCTGTGTCTCTTCAAGAGTTTTTCTATTAAAAGAGCAATCAGATTGGTAGACATAACTGGGAGGAAGGTGGAAGCAAAAGGGTCTGTCCTTCAGTCAATTATTTAAAATTTCATATTAAATTTGATCCCTGAAATGCCACAGTTCAATAAAATGAGCAGGAGAGTGTCTATCACTTCTAGGACAAGCTCTGTATGTATCAATATGGGGAACAGCCATCTCAGGGTGTAAAGCCATTGATATTAATGGGACAGTGTGCACTGCAGTGAAAATCACATTTCAGAATGTTACAATACTGGATCTTCATTAAATTATTCAGGGAAAAAGGACCAATGTCTGTCAGTCTTGATCCATTAAAGTTACTTAAGTATTTGGTAATCTTTGGTGCTAGCAGCCAGATAAATAATGCATTAAGTGATTGTCTGGATTGGAAAGGAGGCCTAAGAAGTCATAACCTAGTTTGTAGTTACAAACTCACACTTTGCTCCAAAGCTGTGGCCTTAGGAAGATGACAGAATGGTGATGACAGCCCTGCCTTCTCTGTTCACAGGTGTTCCATTTCCAAAGAACTTCCTTCAGATCTGCAAGAAGATACTTTGCCGGCTTTTTCGGGTGTTTGTTCACGTCTACATCCATCACTTTGACCGCATCATCCTTATGGGGGCTGAGGCCCACGTCAATACCTGTTACAAGCATTTTTATTACTTTGTGACAGAGCTCAACCTCATAGACCGCAAAGAACTAGAGCCTTTGGTAAGTGTGGGGTCTGGGGGAAAGCTCTAGGAAATTTTCTTCCTCCCTTCACTGAGCCTTTCCCACAGTTGTTGTGGTGGGTTTCCCCTGGGATTAAGGTCCATGGTTGAACACAGACAATTTAAAGGGATGAACTCTTGCCTCTGTTCATAGACCCATTCCATCTGCTGCAGTATTTGTGAGATGCTCAGTAGACTCAGTAGAAACAGAAAAGTACAATGTATTTTGTGTGGAAAAATACAAGGTGGGAAATACTGCCATTTGAAAATAGAAGTTCATTTGTCTTCTGTTTCTTCCTGTACTATATATTGGATCTGTAATTTTATTCCATCTGTTTTCATTGGTCAGTAACAGCATGGTACTCATAGCAGTCACTTGGATGCATGTGAAGGGAACAGTGATCTATATAAAAGTGAATTGTTTGGGTTTTTTTAATCTTTAAGTAGGTGTTTGTGGAGGTATTGAGTGTGTTAGATCCAGAGTGTGCTCTGGATCTAAGTGAGACAGATGAGGTGAGACAGAGGTTCAGAAAATTAGCAGCATAACAAAACCAGACACTTCCTTTTGGACTGAAATAGATCAAAATTAAATTCATTGTTTCCAAAAGTAAGGCTCCAGAAATGGAAAAGCTTTTGCTGTTGCTTGCAAATACAAATAAAATAAAAGCATAAGCAGAGAAGGAAAAGTAAGGAGCAATTCAGAAAGGAGTTTATGCACAAACCCTCACTGCAGGCATTTAGCCAACCTTAAAAATGTCAGGGCAACATTTCTCCATGGGTCAGAGTTTGGAAAATGCTGTGTTGTTGTGTTGTACAGCATATTGATGAAGTGCTAGAACCACTGGGATTTTTTTGTTTTCACAGAATCACAGAACAGCTGAGGTTGGCTGGCACCTATGGATATCATGTAGTCCAAACTCATTCTCAAAGCAGGGTCACCTAGACAGGGCTGCCCAGGACCACATCAAATTTTCAGTTGTTCCACGTAAAGGCACACTGCAAGGAGGTGTATAGCATAGTTGGTAATGAAACTCTACTGAAGGTGTGTCAAAGTGATGTTTGCCTGCGTTTCTGCAGGAATTGGAGCTGTTGCAGGTGTGACACATATGTATGCTTATGTTGATTGAATGAGAGCCTGTAAAGTGAGACAAAATAGATGGTCTTGTTTTCAGCAATTGACAAGGCCCACTGAAAGACACTGCCTATGGCACGTATTGATAACTTGCAATGTATCTATGGCTCCTTTCTAGATAGGAGAACTTAATATGCCATCTAAATATGTCCTAAGGGATAGAAGGAAGCCCTGCAAAAGAGAACTTCCCTCCCAGACTAGTGATCCTAAGTGATCTGTAGCTGTTAAATGCTGAGGATGTGTCACAAGCAATATACAAGGCAGGATATCTTACAGGCAGGAAGAGAGGCGACCTTAAGGCCATTACAAGATCCTTGCTTGCTGTGGAATAAGAAAGCACATAAATGATTTAATGCTGTAGTTGGTGGCTAGCAATATTCCTGCACCAAGCAGACAGATGGAAGATTGGGGTCAAAGTGGTGCAGGATGGCCCAAGACCAGCAGCAGCGCAAGCTAGAAACGTCCTTCAACTGGTGTGTGCTTTCCCTTTGCAATCCAGTATTGGGATTATCCTTTCCTTCACATTATCCTTAGGATCATCATATGATGCAGTACTATTAACTTTGCTGGGATTCAGGGTCTCCCAGAAAACTGTTTCACCTGCACTGGGGAGGCACCATGTCAGCAAACTGACAAAGCTCTACCTGCTTCCATCTTCCTGTCCTTGACTTGGGTGACTGTCAGCTGTGTGGAAATGCAGAAGAAAACATATGTCTGTATTTTTGTCTTCAGATGGGCAGAGAAATGGAGAGGAGTTGCCAAACAAAAGAAGACATTACAAATAATCTTGAATTTTAATGTGGTAGTTGAGAACAACCTGTGCTCTGCCAGGTTCACCATGACAGGAAATGAGACCACATTATCTCCCTTAATTAGAAAATGGGCCAAGAGCTGATTAAATAAACAGACTGCCACATGCTTTAATAACCAGGAAGGCAACTGATTTATCAACATAACTTCAAGAAGGGAGAATAATTGGGGAAGCAGGCAGTAGATGAATAGTAATATTAGCACGACTTACGCTCTTTGTTTAAAATAGATTTTATCAACCTTTGGCAACCCAGTGCAGCAGTTATAAAATCAAATGAAGCAAATGAGTCAAATAGGGTTCCCTCTCCCATTCAGGAGTTGTATAACTTGTCCTTTCTGCAATCAAAGAGTGGGTTAACAGTTTAAAATGCTGCATATCTTTTTCCCATCCCCATCACTATGTAATTTGACAGATCCCCAAGTCTTTCGTAGAGCTGTTTTTGTGGCCATAAAAAAGGAAGCTGGCACAGTCATTGGCCCCACAGGTGGTCCTGGGGAAAAAAACCTGCATGTCCAATTGGTTAATTTTGGGGAAAAGAAGAAGTCTGAAAGCATATCTGCCCTTTCCTGCAGCTAACGGGCAAACAAAGCAGTCTGCACCGTGGGAGCTCTCAGAAGACCTTTAATGCACACCTCCCTAGGGAGGCTATCAGAAAATAAACTGCGGTTTGAATTTTAAGATGTGGCATCTGCTTTGTGCTGGCTCCCTGCGTGACTGGCTTTATTTTCCACTGGCAGTAGTTCACCTTAATTGACTTCTGAGCCTCTTCCCATGGCCAAAACTGTCTAGCAGAGCACTGCCTGTTACCTCCATCCCACACGTACCCTGTGTAGATGACTGCTTGTGTAGGGTGCTTTAAACACTTCATCTACACATGCTTTTCAGTGAGAATCTTAATGCATCTACCTCAGCACCATAACTTGCTGTTCAAGAGGCAGCCCAGCTAGGGTGAGTAATGCTTAGCTCCTGTGATCCCTTTTCTCTAACAACAGATTTCCTGGTATGTAGGACTTAAGAAATACACCAGAGTACTTTATAAGCACATCATAAGCAAAACAGTCTTGGTTCGGGGAATTTTACTTAATTTATTGCCAGGTAACAAAACTTTTGATTACCGATAAGGATATTGAGGAGAAAAAGACTATTAAACAAAACACTTTTCTTCCCCAGGCTCTAATTCAGTATAAAACATCTCTTCCCTCCTTCCTTGTCTCAACTCACCTTGTTTTTGCTACGTGTTACACTCAGCTACTCCTAATGCCTTTGGAGAGGTGAAGGGCAATGCAGGAGACTGCAGATGTGTGTACTGCTTCTTACCTGCTTGCTTACTTGCTTCTTACTTACTTGCTTCTTACTTGTTTTCCTCAACCTCAACATGGATTTACCATGGGACACAGTACCTCCACGGTGTCCCTGTTTTGGTGTGGGTTGCCCATGACCCACAGTGGCTTCAGGGGTGTGCCAGCTCTGGCACAGGGCACTTCGTTCCATGTCTCCAACCACGTCCCCACAAGTACCACCAGCCAGTGGTCTGGCTCTTAGTGGCTGTTGCTTTTTTATCTATCTGTGAGCAGAGGCACTGTGTGCTTCTCTCACTGGTTGAGATTTTGGCACATGGTGGGTTATTTGCAGTGGTTTCAGGGGTAGCTGGAAATAACTGTCACTGGCACAGGGCAGTTCATGGCCTCTCGCCACAGCAAGTCACCCCTGTAGCCCCCTATTACCAAAACCCTGCCACTTATGCCCAATACAAAGCATCCTCTGCAAAGTATGTCCTATGCAATCTGTTGCTTAAAGCCTAGCTTTCTGTTTCCAGTTTTGTTGTGGGTTTCTTGCCTATCTCTGAGTAAAAGCTGTCTTCATGAGTTTCCCCACGTGGACTATAAGAATATTTAGCATTTGACAGAAATATCGTGAGCCTGAATTCAAACGTGTTTGCAAAGTACTCTGATGCCATGAAATAAGAGTTGTATTAAGAGTAGAGCTTGCTCCTAGTTCAACTTTCTACCTTCAGCAGCAAGCTGGATCCTTGACACATACAAAAGGAATGGGAAGACCAAAACTTTCTGTGTTCCTTAACTTGGCGTTCACTGATGTGCTTTGCTTGTTGCTTTAGGAGTTCCACTACTGAAAATGGGAAGTGTGCAAGCACCATGCTTTCTAGCTCTGTAGCTCTGTAGACTTCACATGAAGCTAGCAGTCTGTTAGCTCTGGACTACAGATCCAGACCCTTGTTCCTCTTCTCTCCCAGGGTACCTTCAGAATTGCTTCACAGAACACCTCATCTCTATTAAAGTGTTCTCAATATATGCAACCATATACTCCATCCCCGCTTGTGAAAGGTGTAGCAATTTGTAGTTATGATCTAACTTGAGACCCGTTTTTAATATATTTTGCTGGGACAGATCACTCATCATCCTTTTTAACTTTAAAGGAATACAAGCTGCTTTATGCAAGGCAACACAATCCCTTCCAAATAGTTTTTGATTTTTTTAGCTCAACACAGCATAATCATCATAAATCGGATTTTCCTTTAAAGGGAGGTGAGTTCCTTCTCTGGTATGCATCACTTTCCAGTACTCCCATCTCAGCAAAGAAAGGCTAACTAGCAGGAAAAAGCAGGCCCCTCCGCCAAAGGTATCTATCATTGGAAAGTGTCTTCTAGCAATGTGGCATCATCAGGTCACAGAAGAATTTTCTCCAGCTCATGTCCAGCTTTTCATCCACCAGTACCCCAAAGTCCTTCTTGGCAGGGCTACTCTCCACCCCTTCATCCCCCAGCGTGTACTGCTACCAGGGGTTGCCCGAACCCAGGTGCAGGATCCTGCACTTGGCCTTGTTGAACCTCACGAGGTTCACATGGCCCCATTCCTCAAACTTGTCCAAGTCCCTCTGGATGGCATCCTCTCCCTCAGGTGTGTCAACTGCACCACTCAG